ATGGTAACATCGCGTCGTGGTCGAAAGTTGCCAAGGACTTTGCGCCCCGGGTCAGAGCCCAGTCTGACGCCTTCATGTTTTGTGAGCACCGATTGCAGCGGCAAGCCTTGCCTGCTGCTAAGCGCGAGATGGCCGCTATGGGCTTGAGGCCGCATCTGCAGGCAGGCGTTCCAACGTGGGTGGTTGGGGCGCGCGGGTGAGTCGGGGTGGCAGTCAGTAGGAGCCTGTACTTTAGACGTTTTCTGGCCCATGTGGGCGACGTTGCCGATGTCGGGTCGGGGCCTGGTTGGATGTTTCTTGAGTTGAAAACTCAGCAGGCTGTCCTAGCTGTTGGAGTTTGCTATTTTGTCTCGCGCCTGGGGGTCGCGGGGGGGAACCTGTCCAAAATGCGGGGTATCGCCGAGTTCGTGCGCGCCGTCGGGGTTCCCTGGATTTTTTCTTTCAAAAAAAAAACAATGTGGCAACTCTGTGGCTCTCTGGGTTTCCGCAGTCGGCTCATGCTAGAAGTATTGGCGCCCGTGGGGATTGTTTTTGCATGTTCGCAGGGGTCTGGCACGATGCTAGAGCATGTGTTGGTCTCGCAGGTTTTGGCTCTCTTCGTGCATACTCTTGTTTGCGAGCCTTCACCGTTCAGAACCCATCGGTGTCTCATGGTCCGGCTGGCCCATCCTCTGTTAGTCCAGAAGTTGTGCCGTCGCATGCGTCCACCAGATATCCCAGTTCGTTGCGGGCCTGATCTTCCTCGGCGCCGTGACCTCCTGCAAGAGGAGGGCTCGGCCGAGGGCGGTCTGGAGACGGAGCGCCCCGTGCAGTTGGTGTACCTCATTCCGCGCACTGCGGAGCACCTGGATGAGCAGGTGTATGCGCAGTTTTTCTTGTGTCGGCGTGCTACCGAGCGCATGTTCCTCTCTCGTGCCTGCGATGCTATGCGCGGTGATGAAGGGGGGTCTGGAGGGGGAGCTGCTGCGCTTCAGCTTGTCGCGTCGACCATCGCACGCAGGGGGTGGGGGGGGGGGTGGGGGCGGCATATCGTGATCTGACACTTGCCTTTTGGTCGCGATTCTCTGCTAGGCTGAGCCGCGTCAACGGCTTGATCATGGACGTGGTCTCTCGGGCTGGCGAGTAGTTTCGCCCGTCTTGCCAGCTGCGCAGCCTGTCCCATGGTGAGCCAATCGCGTGTCCTATCAGGCCTTGGCTGATCTGGAGGAGGTCGATCGCCTCGTAGAGATCGCCCCTGAGGTTTCGAAGCGGGCTTGGCATGGAGCTAAGGCGGCTGCGTGGAAAGACCTCAAGGACAGGGCCATCCGCGCAATATCTCGCGGGGCTAAAGGGGTTCGCGCATGGCTGAAACGTGGCGATGTAACTGTGGTTGGGTTTTTGTTTGGGCCCTTGGGGGTGCGATGCAATTGCCGCGAGAAATGATGGATTATCGGGCTCAGTTGTGGGGTGGGGGGGGGGGGGGGGGCTTCTGGCATGTCTCTCGAGGAGGTCGCGGGGCTGGGTAGCGCCATGTCTGACTTCCGCGGCGTCGCGTTGGAGGCCGCCCAAGAGCCCCCCCTCCCCCATCGCTGCCCAACATATCCAAGTTTGTAAGGTCGTCTCGGCCGCCGAAGCCGTCGGAGTTCACGGGTGGCGGCCTCGTGCTGTCGCTGAGCTCCCATCCGACGCGTTGGAAGCCTTGGCGTCCCTGTGCTCGCTGTGCGAGGGGCGCGTGTTCTGGCCTGAACAGATCCTCCCTGGGTAAGGTTCCACGTCGATGAGATGAGCGACCAGTCTGTAAATGCCCCCCACCCTCGACCGCATGTGCACCCAAATTCGGGGGACTGCCATTGATACGTGGACCGCGGAGCACGTTGCGTTTTGGGGTACGGCTGTCGAAGGATCGCCCGCCCTGAAAGCGACGCTGATTCGTGAGTTCTACCATGAGTATGCCGTCCATGAAGGGTACATGTCTGTGGCGCCCCATTGGGGCCCAGCACAGTTTTTCGACGCTGTCAATCCGAGACTGCTTATTAGATTTGCCCTTAAGATGAAGTGCCCACCCCATCTGCTGCATTTGGGCACGTGGATCCACGCGTTCCCTCGTATGCCGGCGTTGATGCAGTGTTTCCCGCGTGTTGCAAACGGGTCGGGGGGTCTTGCTTGGCTGTTCCGAGAGTATTGCGCGGTCCAGATATTTGTCTACGAGGCCTTGGAGGCCTGTCAGTACCAGATAGATGGCGAGCTTTCGAGAGTGATCAGTCGGGCGTATGTCGACGACATTGCGCAGAACGTGGCTAGTTTGGATCACGAGCTGCAGATGCATCTTCTGCCAGCAGCCGCCTGCTTCGCGGTCGAGATCGAGTCGCTAGGTCTGGCGCTTAGCACCGAGAGCGCCCTCGTCTGTTCCTTTCAGGCCGTGGACGCGCACCTTGCTGATAGTCTTCAGGCCTTGGGTCTCCCACTCCGTTCTCAGCCTAATGCCTGGAATCCGGGCTTGCGCGCGACGGCTGGAAGCAGGGGGGGTGTCCCTGAGGTCGCGCGGCGGAGGCTTGCAGCGCGGCGACGCGCTGACAAAGTTGCCGCCCTGTCCCGTGTTTACTGATGGGTGTCCAAGCTGTGCGAACCCGGTGTTTTGTCTGTTCGGGCCTGGGGCCATCAACTGGTGGGCGCGTCGCCGTGCCGGGCGCAGACTGCGCGGGGCCCGGCGGCCCAGTGTTTTGGGTGGTGGGCCCCAGGTTCTTGTTCGACTACCGTGTTGGCTTTGGCGTCGAGTAGTTCGGGCGAACCCCTGTTCCGCTCGCGGCGCGAGCAGCTCCTCAGCTTGGCTGACCTGTGGCGCGAGCTGGGTCCTAGGGACCGCATGCGTGTTGAGAATGTTTGGGTTGCTGCCGTTGACCTCTTCCTGAGTATCCCTGCGAACTGTCGTTGGCGGCGGGTTCGTGGACCTGCGATGGCGACGGTGGCCGCTCTTGTTGATGTTGAGTGGGCGCCCGTTTCTCCCTGCGAGTGGCAAGATGAGTTCGGCGTCTCCCTGAATGTGGATGCCCTGGGCATTCGGTTTTGGCTTTGGCAGGCCCTTCAGGTTACCTGTGGCCAATGGACCTCGGAGAAAGCTGCGGGGCATTGCCTTGGGGCTGGGGTCCATGGCGGCGTTGGTTTCTCCGTGCCTCGGCGGCTGCCGAAACGGTGCGGTCGATATCTTGACTGTGAGTCCCAAGCCATTCTTCGCACTGCGCTCGCTAGGGGCTTTTGTGCCGAGACCCGCCTATTTGAGGCGGGGTGCGCTGCGAGTCCGTTGTGCCCCAGGTGCTGTCTTCAACCTGGGATGCCAGCGCATCGTTTCTGGCAGTGCGCGGCCCACCGCGCCCTGGGCGATGCTGCTGTCCAGGCCACAGATAGCCTGTTCCAGATTGCTATCGACGGGGGCGCCTCCCTCCCCTCTGATGTCGAGGATTGCTGTCGGTCGGTCAGGTCGTGAAAGGGCTCCCTGCGCCTCTGTCGTCGGCCTGGGTCTGTGGAGCCTTCCGAGGTGCCTGTCCTGTGACTGGGGGCGTTTGGGGGATCGATGGATCGGGGGGCAGTGGAACTAAGGACTGGAGTCTAATCAGGTGTGGGTGGAGCGCGGTTATGCTTGCTGTTGACGAATATGAAGTGGCAGGTGGTCTCTTCGGAAGGTTTCCACCTCCTTCTCAGATACCCCGCCCTCCCACGCTCTGAATTGTATGCTCTGTATATGTTGCTCACTGTGACTGACGGTGATATCTTGGTGTGCTCTGACTATCTCCCGGCGGTGCGGATGGTCTCCAGAGCAGCTAGTGATAAGTAAGTGTAGCATGTTGGATGTATGGGCCAGCATGTGGGGTCGTCTTGGGGCGCGTTCGGGCAAGAAGGATCACCGTTTGACTAAATCCCACCTTCGAGGCGCGCGTGGATGAGATGCAAATCTCGCGAGTGGAGCTCATTTTGAATAATGCAGCCGATCACTGTGCCAACGGAGGAGCCCGCAGGGGCCAGTTGAGATCTCAGGAGATGGAGGCGGTCCGTGCAGCGGACGCGCTCCAGGAGGAGATATTGCTGCGCCTTCTTGCGATCCAGCATGATGTGTTTCTCACCTGTACCCGCGAGGCTCTCAATCATAAAGGTCTCGCGGCAGCCCGTAATAGGTCGGGCATCGTGACTCTCGGGGCTAGGGGGCGGCGGCTGATGGCTGCTGGTCACGCTGCCTCCTTGAGAAGCACTATGTTAAAGTGCTCCAGGTGTGCCCGCCCCTTTTCGAGACAAAGGCCAGTGTCGCAATTCTGGCCGGAGGTGTGTGTCCCTCTATCCGAGTTCAGCCAGGTCTCAGGGGAGTGGACTCCCCAGGACGAGCGGGACCCCCGTGCGCCGCTTTCCCTCTGATCATCCTCTCTTTCCACCTGTCCATGCTTCGCACACCTTCGCCTACTGTCAGGGCGTGCTGTGCTGTCTTGCCTGTGGAGCCTTTGGGGTGGATCAGGCTCGTCAGCTTGCTTCGGACTGTGGACAGCCCTCCGCGAAAGGGCCGGAGGCGTTCTCTCGATTGTCGCGCGGGCTCCCTCCCAAGTCAGGTATGGTCTTCCCCGTGAGGGGATGGGTGTGTCATGCGCCCAGGCCTGCTCCTGGTCGCCGCACTCAACGCAATCGCAATCGCTTTCCTCCTCCTCCTGGTTGGGGAGCGGCCTGCATGCGCAGCACAGCAGGTGAGCCAAGTGCCCCCTCGGAGCGGGCCGCGCGCGGACATCGCAATCAGAGGGAGGGGGGGGGGGAGGGAGAGAGGGAGGGGGAGAAAGAGGGGCGGAGATAGGGAGGGAGGGAGAGGGGGGGGGAGGGAGAGAGGGAGGGTGAGAGGGAGGGAGGGGGAGAGGGGGTAGGGAGGGATGCGGGGAGAGGGGGGAGGGAACAAAGGAAGGGACGACATGGGCTGTTGCCATCGTTTGATCCATCTTAGAAAGGGGGGCGGAGGTCCGATGCCTTGGGCCGCTTCCCTCGCCCCGTTTGAGGCGCTCATCGGGAGGCCCTTCTTTTCGCGCAACCACTTCGCGAACCTGTTCGTGGGTTTCATTTCGAAGAAGACAACGACCCACAGGCATACATTCCCGGAGGTTCGCGCGGACTCCTCGGATCGGCGGCGCCCTCGACGCAGGGGGCGGCGCCGAACGCGCCACCAGGGAGCCCTCGCGCCGATCACCGGGATCCGCGCGCAGGCCTCCGACAGTGTATGTGCGTGGTGTTTTTTTTTTCTTCTGTCATCTGCGTCAATATTGCCGTCTTCGCGTGCATCTGGTGGCCTTCGGCCCATCCCGCCACCGTGCCCTGGTCGTGGCTCAGCCAAGCGAGAGCCTTTTGGGAGGCCTCGTGGGGGACCCGCTGTGGACCTCTCGGGGGGCCTCTTGGGGGCTTCCTCGGGGCATCTTGGCATCTTGGAGGCCAGATGGCCGTCTATAGAGACCTTTTGGAGGAGAGGGTTCGACATTTCAGTTCTTGTTTTCCCTCGTGCAGCCGTCTTGTGGGTCTCTTGGGCTCTCTTGGGAATATTGGGGGCTATTTTGGGGTGATGTTGGGGGGCCTTTCGAGCACTCTGAAGGCCGAGCAGGCGAGCATTCGAACATACTGCACAGAGCATGAGGATGCTCCGCGATTGTGGCTGTAAGGGCCAGCCCGCAGGGCCTCTAGACGGCTGACGAGGCCTCCAAGTAGGCTCCAAGACTGGCCCTGAAGCCATCCCAGGCCATGCCCGAAGTGTGGATTACAAACCGCGCAGGCCTCCGGAAAATCTCACGACGAGCCCCACGAGTGTCCCGAAGCGTTCAAGAATTCAAACATTCGCGATGTGGGGCGTTGAAAGAGCAAGTGCAAGTAATGCGCCAATCAGAGAACTCGCAGGGATCTGAGGACACTCCACTCAGTGGCTCGCGGCACTGGCGGATCATAGCGCCAGGCCGCCACCTTCACATTGTAAGTCGAAAGTGTGAATGATGGTGGTGCCGAGATGATGGCAGGCGGGATGTGGGATATGAATTGTCGTTAATTGGGGGGAACGACTGCGAACGAGGGATATCAGTCTGTTCGAGGGCTATGTGAGGCCGTGTCTTTTGAACTCTAGATTTCAGCAACAAGGAAGGGTACATACGAGGATACACAACGGTGGGCGACACTGCCAGTGGTAGAGCCATGCTGCAAACCTGCATCTGTCAGGATCAGCCAAAGCACGGCAGCGATGAGAGGGCGCTCGACACCCATTCAGAGGGAGCCGACAGTTCATGCCGCATGTGCGATCGCATTCATTAACATGTTGCGTGATTCGTTTGCTTACTTTCAGGGATCGCGAACCCCCATCCAGACATCGTGATGTGGTGGTCGTTGCTGATCGGCGGGGCCATGCTTCTCTGGGTGCCCGCTCCGCATGTCATGCTTCATCCCTCTGGGAACGTGCACGCCTGGAGGCACGGGAGGCGTAAGTGTGACCCAAGAGTTCAAATCCAGCATGTGCACACCAGCGCCAATCTATGATGTGAGTGCAGGCTAACATCTTAGCATCTTGTTTGGGATCACGTTTCAGCGGCATTCGATAACCACGCCCTGCAGGAATTCCACGCCTGTAGGTTGTGCCGCTTGTATCAGCACTCGCGACATCACCGAAGCACACTTTTACGATGTGTGTTCTTGGCCCTCTTAGGGGCGATGAGGAGAAGGAGGAGGAGGTGGAGCAGGAAGAGCAGGGGATTGAGCAGGAGGAGGAGATGGGGGAGGGGAGGACACGAAGCGGGAGGAGGGTGGGGAGGAGGAAGAGGAGTTGATGGATGAGGAGGGAGGAGGACGAACAGAAGGAGGAGGAGGCGGAGGTGGAGGAGGGAGGAGGAGGAAGCCGAGGAGGAGGATTGGAGGGAACCGCTCCAGCATGAATGGACATTTCTATAGTGGAGGGTTAGCCTCCATCATGAAAAGTTTGTGGCAGTGGAGCGTAAAGTGTCTACAGGTCTACCGTTCAATCAGACGGTTCTTGCTCTGATTTCATCCTAGGTGCTTGAGGATGGATGCGCCTCCTCTCCGTCTCCTCCTCATTTTGCTTCTGAGGCCCCACCCCTCCTCCCTCCATCCTTCCCTACCACCTCCCTATCCTCCTCGTCCCTCCCTCCTCCCTCGCCCCCTCCACCCACTCCCTCCCCAATCCTTCACCCTCCTTCTTCTACTCCCTTACCTGCGCACCCGCGCACACACGCACACACACAGACGGGCAAACACACAGATACACAGACACACAAGCACACAGACACACAGGCACACAGCCACACAGACAGACAGGCACACAGACACACAGGCACACAGCCACACAGACAGACAGGCACACAGACACACAGACACACAGCACACACGCGCACACGCGCACACACGCACTCACGCGAACTCGCACACAGACAGACACACCGACACAGACACACACACACGCTCAGACACACAGCACACGCACACGCACACACACACACTCTCACACGCGCACGCACGCACGCACGCACGCACGCACGCTCCCACGCACGCACGCACGCACGCACGCACATACACAGACGGTCACGCGCAAGGTCACGCGCATGCACACGCACACGCACACGCGCACGCGCACGCGCACGCGCACGCACACGCACATGCACGCGCACAAGCACACGCACACGCACACGCATGCGCACACGCACACGCACACGCACACGCACACGCACACGCACACGCACACGCACACACATACCCACCCACCAGCCCACCCACCCATGCACGCACGCACGCAAGCACGCACGCACGCAAGCACGCACGCACGCACACACACAAACACGCACACGCACGCACAAACACGCAGACGCAAACACGCTAACAACGTAATCGTTTTCTTGTTCAATGGTTTGCCGATCGGCGCGGGCCCTTGCACCCTTGAGTAGATCTTGGCAGGTTTTGGCGCCTGTTTCGAGCAGGTGGGGCGCCTCCCGCATCGGACGCACTGCTGCAATTAGCCGCACTTAGCAGAGGTCCGGAGCCGGATCCCCCCAATGAAGCGCCAGATAAGGAAACATTCACCACGCGCACACACGCGAACGCACGCACGTACCTACGCACCTACGCACCTACGCGGACACGCGCATGCACGCGCTCACGCACACACACACACATCCGCACACACACACACACGCACGCACGCACACACACAACACACACAACACACAACACACAACCCACAACACACAAACAACACAAACAACACAAACAACACAACACAAACAACACAAACAGCACAAACAACACAAACAACACAATCCATAACACACACACACCACACAACACACACCACACAACACACAACACACAACACACGACACCCAACACACAATCCACAACACACAAGACACAAGACACAAGACACGAGACACAACACATAACACAACACAACACACAACACACAACACACAACACACAACACACAACACACAACACCAACGCACAACACACAACACACACCACACAACACACACCACACAACACACAACACGCAACGCACAGCACACCACATACAAAACACAAGACACAACGCACAATACACAATACACAACACACAACACACACCACACAACACACAACACACAACACACACCACACAACACACAACACACAACACACAGCACACAACACAACACACACAACACACAACACCAACACACAACAGACGACACACAACACACAACGCACAACGCAGAACACACAACACACAACACACTCCACACAACACACAAGACACACGAGACACGGCAGAAAACACAATTCACAAGACACAAGACACAACACACAACACACGCATACACGCACACACGCACACACGCACACACGCACAAACGCACAAACGCACGCACGCACGCACACAGGCACACACTCACACACGCACGCACGCACACACGCACACACGTTCACACGCACGCACGCGCGCACGCACGCACACACGCACACACGCATACACGCACACACGCACACACACGCACACACAGACACACACAGACACACACACACAAACACACAGATACACACACAGGCGCACACACACAGACACACACAGACACACACAGACACACACAGACACACACACACACAGACACACACAGACACACACAGACACACACACACAGACACACACACAGACACACACAGACACACACAGGCACACACCGACACACACAGACACACACAGACACACGCACAGACACACACACAGACACACACACACACGCAGACACACACAGGCACACACACCGACAAACACAGACACACACAGACATACACAGACACACGCAGACACACATAGAAACAGACACACACAGACACAGACAGACACACACAGACACACAGACACATTCAGCCACACGCACCTACACGCACGCACGCACGCACGCACGCCCGCGCGACGCCCGCGCGACGCCCGCGCGACGCCCGCGCGCACGCGCACGCGCACGCACGCACGCACACGCAAACGCACACGCACACGCACACGCACACGCACACGCACGCACACGCACACGCACACGCTCACGCACACG